TGATTTTCTTAAAAGGAGAGGTCCAGGTACATGGGCTGAGCAAGAACATCCTTTATTGTTGCATTCGACTGGGTCACCTTCTTCATCACCAGTTGCCGTGGCATGATATTAGAGCTAATTCCGAGATCCCGTAGTCTGAATGCGATACCGAATTCCAATTCGATAAACAAAGCACATGTCCTCTTCATAAGCCATCATATCACCTCACTATCGGGAGACTTGAGGACGCTTGGCAGCCATAATCTCCACACCCGTTCCCGGCCTTGAAAACAGCCGGACAAAGCCAGAAGCTTTACCCTACCGACTTTACGCCGCAGACCAATATTCTTCGAGATTTTCACACCGAGGCGTCATAGAAGTCTCCAGATATACCTAGAGCCACAATCAGATTGCCTTAACAGGCAAACTATGCGCCTTACCATACAGCGCCTCATACCCGACATGGCTATGTTGTTCGGGTCAAAGGAATGGTCGACATGCCTAAGACGGCCGGCGCCTGTCGGTGAAGCTGTTCACAGCCAGCCGATACTTCGTCATCTCGTCTAATGAACAGGGTTGAAGGAGGCAGCAAGGCAACTTTGCCGGCCCGCATGCCGACCCAACAATCAGCCCTATGACAGCAAGGCATGAGGTCGTGGACAGCGGCACTGTGCCGTTTCTACAGCCGCGGTGCAGGCTCAAAGGAGTAGCAAGCGGAAAGGGGCGGTGGGCAACAAACATTGAACCAACAACGCCAGCGACCTTTTGTTTGATAGTTCAATCAAAGGACATATCTGCAGTTGGTTGGGACTGGGCCAGCTTACAGGCAACACGACGCCTCACCATTAGCCACGGCGACCAACTCATGGGCAAGCGCCTTTCACTATCAATGTCGTTGTTCGTATCTTTGTGGATGTGGTTATGATCTATTTCGTACTGATCTGAGAAACGCCCGCCGACGTTCCGAGTTATGACGGACCACCTCATGTGGAATTGAAACGCTGATATTCAACATGATGCATGCCACGAGGCTGGCTAGTTGGCACCTAGTTGCCTCGAAAATTCAATGGCTCAAGCCGCCTTCGAATGTTGGTCCCATATTTCATGTAGATCATCATTGGCATACGTCTACACGAGCCTTGTCTTTGAGACTGCGCTGTAAGGCAGACACGTTCTCAACTTGGACCCTTGGAATCCAGAAGGAATTCATAACCCAGGGTGAACATCAAACCATCCCTTCAAAAACACGTTTCAATTCAATTGGGTATACCATGACACCTTTTCTCTCCCTTGGCTGTACTGCAGTTACCCGCGTTATCCCAAGAATGCTTCACTCCCTATCACTATCAAGTTGATAGGTAAACGTGCTATATTTAATAGCCAAAGCCTCAATGGGGCTGAACGTGCCGGCGCCCACGCCCGTTTCTTCATCTTATGCTATTCAAGGCATCACTTCAATAGGGGGTAATAGGGGGTTGGTGTAAGGCGCGTCCTCTTGGCCATCCATTGGCTAGCACGTTTTCAAGCGGTGACAATTTGCAAACTGCGCCACTAGCCGGCCGCCCTCACAAGCAAACCAAATACCTTTACTTGAACTCCCTTTCACCGGTTTCAAACTCCTTTGTCTACATGCATCATTTATTGAGTCGCCTTGCAGGGGTTCCGGAAATATCGCGCATGATCAAAGAGGTGTGTGTAGTTGGGGTCCCGTCATTCGCAAGGAATAAGCTCTGTCTTCCCCTGAATACTTTTCTTTTTCGTGATGGCCTCACGTATGTTGCATATCCGAATCTGCAGGCCTTTGCAATCCCTGAATAGGAACTTTACCCGCTCCTTCCGCCACAAGTCACGGGCGGCATCCTACTCGTTGAGGCTCTCGGGGGTGCACTTCACTTCCCGTATAATGGGCACCTGCAGAGGGGCAATGATGGCAGTATGTAGGGCTCCTGATATCCATGCTTTCCATTGTACTTTTCAGCTTGACCACAGCGAGCTTCTTGAGTGAAAAAGATTCTTCCACTTTGCATATTTGAGCTCGCAATGTGTAGTACTCTGTACGACCCCAACGAGTGTGGGCCAACGGCTTTCAAGTCGTTGGAGGGTGTGTACGACGGTGCACTTGCAGGAGGCTGCCAGTGCAACAGGAGATCTCGAGACTGCGATCTTTCGGCAGTGATACTGACGAGTGGATCTTATTCTCGGACTCGATCAGGGACGCAGCCCCGTACGGGGCTCTTCCGAAGTCCCGAGACCGTTTCTCACGCGTGCCGCTCGCCCGTCCGGAGCACATCAGCCTTCGTTATGTGGCGCTCCGCCACGCTCATCGCTGTTCCAGATTGTTTGTGAATGGCTCAACGATGAGTGGGAAACAGTGCACCAAATAGGCATACTTCGAGATTATTCAACGTCTGACAGCCAATATTGATTGACCAACCAAGGTTTCCCCAGGGAAAACTCGCAGAGCTCGGTCAGGCTTTGTCATACACGGAGATCTCAGACCGAGGTTGCACGACCTCGCAATGATGCCCGTCATCCACCACTCATCGGGAATTCGGGACATTCAGTTTCGCGCTGAAAGCTATCCCGGTCCAGGCAGTTCTCGGGCCGTCATAAGACAGTCAATCCTCAGCCTGCCGTTTTTCGGGGCTTACCTGGAACCAAGACAAGAATGATATTCCCGTCCACAGCGCCACGCGGGAAAACGAATCACTCGCAACGAGTTGCTTACACCACGAAGTAGCCCCAAAGACGCCTTGCGACAGTCCACCGGTCTTTCGGTCGAGACAACACGTCGCCGCGCATATCATGCTTCATTTGCTGCCCTACGGGACGCCTACTTGGACGAAGACATCAAGGTCCTCGATTCGAGCTCATCCTTAAAGTATGTGCCTCCGACATCAGTGTTTACGATCGTGGCATTCAGCTATTCGGGAAATGTCAGGTGAACACTGGAGAATGAGCCCATTTCTGCTCGAAAGGAGACCTTTGCATGAATTTCAGGGCAAAATAGGGCTTACATAGGTACAGTTGGGCTCTACTATAGGTCAGTTTGATAGGCACTTACAAGTCCACGACTCCAATCTTCTGCCTCGAAGATAGCGGCCGCGCAAGTGGGCCAAGAGCAGCGGGGTACGCTTCTCGATCTCGCATCTGCTTACCACCTCTGTTGAGACCTGAGCATTATTGGCCTCCTCTTCGCCGTTCGATATCAAGGCATGAAAGACATCATAGACAGTTTTATGATGATTCGGCCTGAGTACGGCACGCTCGCCCCGTAGAACCTAGGCCACATGGTGGCCCTCAGACCAGCACGGCTCAGCCCCATAAGCTACGCGAGTGATGAGTCTGATTAGCGATTCATCTTGGAGTGTTGCCGCGTAGCGAAAGTCAACATGGGTATTGATGCATATCGGACCCCCATGGTCAAAGATGGCATAATATTGGGTATAAGATTTCCAGCCATTGATTGGCAATTGGCCGCAGATGGTCGCAGATTGAGGCCGTCGGGCGACCATCAGTCCAGGGCAATCAGGGGAATCGACTTCAATGCTAATGTTGTGATGAATCCCTACGAATACGCACGCGGGATACGTCCGAAGCTCCCGCACGGGACAACCCGCATAATTCTACCCTACTGCGTAGAACATTGGCTAAAGTAGGTCATTATCATTCTTCAACGGATCTGCCACCCGGGGCCCACCGGTCCGGGATGACCCCAGCTCGGTCCCAGACTCCCAATGGTCTTGCCGCGTGGTAGCCTGGGCACTGGCATCGGCATTGGTAGAGATGATCGAGGGTGTGAAAGGCGATGAGTCATATCGCGCTGTCAACTTCCGAACAAGTGCTATAGAAGCCATACGAAACGCGAAATGAAGAAAGGGGAAATTCAGGCGAGATAAGGCAAATATCAAAGGACCAGGGCCTTAGATTATGTAGGGTCTTCACGCCTTTGGGGGAGGTGGCCAACTTTGCTTACCTCCGGTAAAGATCAGAGAGTCAGATCATTAACGGTAGGGGTATCTAGGCAACCGAGTTAAATTGTAATGACTAGTTACGCGACTTTTGATAAGTTCTTTCTCATCTTCAGTTGAATAGTTACGCTTTGGATTGTTCATGTTTCTATTTTGTCCAAATGCTCTGGCATTGGACAGGAGTCCAACTGGCGAACCTCCGATTCATCTCGAGAACGTTGCGTCTTGATCCGGAGGACTTGGAGGGCTGCCGTCCTCCAAGAGAAGGATGAGGACTCGCAAGGCATCTGGTCTGCCTCTTATTGTCTCACACATCGGTCATGGACATGTTAACCAAGCCTTGACGTTTTAGATGACGGAGTCGACTGATGTTTCACCTAGGATGTGGTTACTTAGTTATTGGTCACTCAGCAAGAACATCGAATGCACCAGAGTCCCGACAATAGTAAACAGTCCGCATTATGAGGTGACGCGAACACGAGGGGCATGTGGACTGTAATACAACAGTAAAACATGCAAAATTGCATGCATCCTCGTAAGCAATGAAACTGGCGTTTTATCCGTTTAAGACCACGAATTGCACAACTGCGTGTTACTACTCAATCTGGTACGCACTTATACACTCTCGGTAACACGACGGTTGGCTTGTTGAACGTTAGATCTTGACCGAAGAACGTCTGGTGATGCACAAAATGGTTCGCAAGAACATCTTCTGGCGTGATCTTAGATTGAAGACACTCTAAAGTATAAAAAGTCAAGCTCTGTGAGACCAGTTGCTAGAGCTCCTCACATCGAAGAATTAGGACGCTGTAAATTGGTTCGTGAATCATGGAATTTGGATTTCGCATCGAGGTGAAGCATGTGAGACCATCCATTATTGACGAGAATGCAGCTTGAGCAGGCAACCAGGCGTTCATACATATCCCTCCACTTCGCGTTGCGATCCCATGCGTGTATGAGCACACCAACATTTGCAGTGGGCGATGTTACTTCATATTTAACATGGCGGTGAGTCATTGGCAACTTTGCCTTACGTAGGCAATGAAATCGATGTCCGACCTCGGAAAGAAAGACGCTAATGGTAATAATGATCCAGTCTTAAGACGATCGATAAGCGCGCTTGACCATTAATCATGTGTTCTGTCATTCGTTGAATGGAAAAGGCCATAACAACTGACACGATAGCTCGTACCTGCTGGCTAGTACCTCTGTCAAATTGCTGTGCTAGAAGCGGTGAGCAATCATCCAAGGATTCGGGAATCAAGGGCACCACGCCAGCCACCTCATTTCTGCCTGACACGTCCAGTTCTTCGCCAACCAAGGTAAGCACCCTGACCTTGAGTGGCCCGTGTCCAAGTCTAGCATTCTGAGGTGAATTGCTCGTGAGCGTATTGATACCATGAGATTCAGATATTCAGGTTCAATGCATGATAAATATCGAGGATATCCACTTGAATGATTAACTCCAAGTCAACCTCGTTGAGGGGAAATCCTACCACAGAAAAGGTACCTATTGGGAATGACTATTCCACTTACTTGCAAACCCCACGTCCGATGGATTTAGTGCTATGACCGACAAGGTTATTGCTGCACTGCCAACAAAGGGACCGCCTGCTCGGGAGCAAGAGGTGCCAAGCGTAGAACTTGTGCCCATATAGCATCGTCGGTCATCTCCACTAACAAGGCAACCAAGCACTAATGTGCCAGTCTACATTAGATGATCAATATCCCCTCAAAACCCCTCATAAGGCCTTCACCGGTGCGGGTCTAGCTTCATGAGGTTGACTCATGGTGCGTTCTATTGGAAAAGGTCAGAAGGCCTACGCCCGCCGAACCGAGAAACTTGAGAAACACCCAATGATGTATCACTGCAGTGACAAAAAGCACAACATGCAGTAGCAACCAACATTTAGAGTGTTCAAATGATTATCGAAGTGCTTTAATCGAGGCACTTGGATTTAGAGATCTGAAGAATTCCAATACAGCCTGCATGATAGCGTGGGTGGCTGGGCTCTCAGCCTCGGCGCTCTTCACACTCACCCCTAATTCCGCCTCACCTGAGAAAGGCGACACCGTTACCCTGCAAGATTTTGAATAAGCGCACATTGCCTCGGGCGTATTTTCTCTATCTTATGAAAGAAAATAGCGCATTTAGCTGCCTTTGTGGGAGCCGGGCGTGATTGTATCGTGGGATGTTGTCCTTTTTCACTTCCCGAGCAGTGTGGGCAACGCTCTACACTAACAATAGAACCTCGTGTAGAATCTCACCGAAACAGAGGAAGTAATAGGTTGTGATGGTGTTTCTAAATTGCAAAATCTTGCTGGGTGATGAAAGAGATTCAGCGTACATCTGATGTTTGTTCTGGAAAGACAGGCTGACCGTTCAGACGAAAAGTCAATGCCGACATCAGATGGACCATAGTCAGACAGCATGACGATGAATTAAGCTTAATTTGGCTACCCACATGGTGTGGGTAGCGAAAGTAGAAAGGAGCCTTCTGCGTTGCATTTAGGGCATAAAAGATAATGGCAGACACTTACTCTTGTGTCGAGGCAGCAACTCTCACTGAGATTGCGACACTATTGTTCTCACCTTGCCTGATGGTGGTCTGCTTTGCGCTGAAGCGCTCATAAATTGGTTCAGTGTATTATATTCAAATTTGTATTCGTATTAATTTTGTTGATAGAGTCAAACAGTTTTGTTACAATTTTGGAGTTTGGGCAATGCTCTTGGGACCTGGCAGCAAAGCATGCTTTCTGTCACGAGACAGGAAGATTACTAGCATATTATGACATTCTACCATGTAGAATCTCTCATAGACCTCATTGTGGAGATTGCTTTTTACCACTTTATTCCAGATCTGTTACTTTGAGCTACTACAAACCTAATATATGTGCTCATGGATGTGCGCCATATTTCTCGACATATTCCGTTCGACGATTTACAACGTTGATAACTGTCACGCCTTGTGCCACGCACCAATTGGCATAGATAGATTAGAAAGCAGTTATAATTGAGCAAGATTGAATGACCAAAAGAGTCACGTCTTCCAATGATGAAAAGGACGACTACCTACAAGAATGGCCAGCACGTCACGGTTCAGTACTCTCTGAACCTACAGGCAGTCATACTTCATGTGAACATTGAAAAATCACTGAACATGGAACCAACATCTCGAAATATCCACTTGGAGTGCCTTACCAATCAATCAAGTCAAGAAACTTTCGAGGAGCTTGACATCATTTTTGACACAGCCATAGCCTATTAATCCTCCTCAGCTTCTAAGGTTGAGCCTTAGTGTCAATAGGTGTGTGACACAGGGAAGAAGCTCACAGAGGCCAACTGCTGTTAGGGTCTAAAAGATGAATTACTGAAATCTGCCCTTCCCTCGAGGTGTACTACCAGCGCTCTATATATGCCTGAGCTGCTCCTTTGTTGCTTGGTCCCCCTCCTCATGCCCCTTGAGCTATCCCTTAACCGGCGAGGCCTGACCGGCGAGGCCTGACACTTAGCACACGAAACTTTACTGAGTTGCGAGACAGCTCGGTGCTCAACAGCGCAGATTCACTGTGGCCTCAAATTTGATCAAGGGTGGTTTCCTAGAAGTTGACTGAACTGATTAGTGGAGTTGTGTCGAGTGCAACACTGTTTCTAGGTGTCAAGACGAAGGGAATCTGGCAGGAATACTGTTCGCGCGCGAACGATGGACCATTGCTCAATACCATACCATGGAGTTTTGAAGCTCAAGCATCTCCTCGTATACCCTAATCTTCTCGCCGATGCCATTGTCAATTCCACTGAAACGTCATCCCGGCAACTACTCCTCACAGAAAGCTATACTTTTGCAAATAGATCAATCCAGAACATCGGCGCGGCTCGCTCATTCTTATGGTGCTCCCTCGTCGCCAGCGCAGATTAGCCCCAGATCTAGTCCCTAGACTCCCTCTCAAGAAACCCAGTAAGAACCACGAATCAACATAGAAGCTTCAAGCTTTTGGCAATGTCTAGGATGCAACTGACTGTGTTGAACACTTCCTAAGGTCAATAGTTCATGCGTTCATGATTATGTAGAAACGCGTAGAGGTGAACACTCTTGGCCGGCAGGAAACCAAGTCGCCAGATCGTGGCCAGCTTCATATTGACAGTTGAGGTGCCCCTTTTCAGGACGGTCTAGACTTTTCACTTCGCATGTATGCATCTCGCAGAACGGGCTGTGGAAGCTTATCACATCCTACAGTAAAGCATGGGACTACGGCTACATCTAGGCGCAACCCTAGGTAGTCACGAGAGGCCTTTTGGAGTAGTGCACTGTTGATAGCAACTTATTCCCGTTTTCGCGACTTTGGGTCGACAATACCATTCGTAGACAGCAAGTAAAGGTGGTTGTAAGGACACATGCAGGGACATCATTGCACAAACTCAAACGACTCTATTATATCATGATATCATACAATACTTTTATCTACGCCCAACGCAAGTTGGTCTGCTTCTTGCGAACCTATTCCTCTTGTTAGCAAATGATCCGCGAAAATATTTGCGGGAGATATAGACTTACAATGGGTCCCAACACAGTGACACCAACAGTGAGCGCAAGAACAGTCGAAATCAGGCTAATCTTGTTGAAGCCCTTGCCGAGGATATCAAACGCAAAGCTAGGCGCGACACGGCTTCCAAAGACGTCGACGCCGTAGGAGAAGACCAAGCTGGTGCTCTCCACAACGGTGGGCGAGGTAATGATCTTCTGCACGCCAATGACATCGCGCTGGTGGGTAATGACTTGTCTGGGGTCGATCTCAACGGCGGGGTGGTACCTGATCAGGCCCTCGGCCTCCATCTCCGCGGGTGTCGGGTCGCGTCCGACTGGACGTCTCGGCTCAAGGAGCTGGCGGGGAAGACTGACAATGGCGTGAGACTCAGGCAGGTAGCCTAGGACGTGTCGGCTGGTGATGCCCTGGCGGGTCTGCGTGACGGCAAGAGCGGCCAGAGGGGCAGACAAGATCCAAGCTTGGCTGATCACTGAGGGAAGGGGTACGCCGGTCGGGGTATCGACAGGCTCGGTAGAGGAGAAGTTGGCAGCATCACCAAGCGGGCCTCGGTCATCGGCGTACTCGCTCTCGTACAAGTCGGAGACCACGATCTGGTTGCCCTTCAGGGTTTGTCCAGAGAGAGGCTGGCCGGCATCATCCTTCAGAGAATACTGCCCGAAGAACGAGCAGGCGAACCAGTTCTCAGCGAGTGTGCATTCGATATTCTTGTTGCCATCAACTCCCTCATGGGTAGTGGAGTGGAGGACAGCGCCCGAGACCGAGTCAATCAGGTATACGTTGAGAGAAGACTTGGCGTTGCTGTAGGCAGAAACAACAATCGTGTTGGGGTTCAGGTACTTATACTTGACGCGTCTATCGCCAAGAACACGTCCGATGGAAGCAATGGGATCGTGGACGGGGCGGGTTGCGATGTTGACGATGTCGAAGCCCGTTGGCGCAGAGAACTCCCAAGCAACCTGTTCCTTGCCTGTGCCTTCCTCATCGATGTAGGTCAGGCCCTTCAGCTCGCCCTTCAAGCCACGAACGACGACAGTTTGTGTGGGTATCCATGCAGCAGGGACGTCGCCGATGGCACCTCCAACTCCAACGGGGGCGAGCCATGGTCCTGAAGGGCTATCGACAATGACGGGAGCTTGAGTTTGCACCCAGGAGCCTTCAGGCATAGAGTCAACCATCTTTCCAGTGTCTGTCTTGGCTATAACGTAATCGCCAAAGTGGCCTCGAACAGTGACGGTGGACTTGGCATCCTCAACGAAGATGCCCTTGATATCCCAGGTGTTCCAGGGGGCGATATCGACAGCGTGGAGTTTCCAGATGACTTTTCCATGCTTGCCGATATCAATACCGAAAAGCTTGCCGCGTCTGGTCACCAGAACCACGATCTTGTTGAAGCCGAAGGCATCGCGAGAAAGACCCTCTGTCCTTGAGGTAATCTCAGCTCCGGTGATGCTGCTAACCAGACGCTGGGGGATGGAGGCGAGATAGTCGGGCAGATAGGCGAGGTCATCGAAGTGGCGTTGGACACGGTGGATGTAAGCAGACAGGACGTTGTCGTGTGCCTCGGCTTCAAGGGTCTTGGCGAGGTCCTCGCTTTCGGGGATCTCTGCGAAGGCGGCGGCGACACCTCCGGTAAGACCTTCGGGGCGAACCCAGGCCTCTTCACCGTTGCGGACCAAAACCCAGTCATCGAGAGTAGTAACAGCTGCGCAGCGGACAGCAAAGTTGTCCGCAGCCTTCTTGATAACCTCGGATACGGCGTGGAGAGCCGCGAATCTCTCATTGCCTTCCTTAAAGGCCCATTTTCCGAGGATGGCATGCGAGCTTGACGAGGTAAGGATAACCTCCTCTTCGGTGATCCGCGTGAACCACACGTTGGCGCCTTCGGAGCTAGTCGAGAAAGCGCCCAGTCCAGGAAGCACAGGCAGCTCGTGGTGCTTGGTTACGGCATTGGTCTTGATATTGACGTGGTAGACCTCGCCCTTGTGGCTGTCAGAGGATCTGCTGTGCACCAAGAAATGCGGCTCTGCGTTGAGGTGATGCGGGGCATGGATAGCTACATCAAGAGTCCTGGGAAACGGGAGGGCAAACTCCTGCTTCGACTTGGTGCCCA